CTGGCATCTAGAACAACTTTTAAAAATTTTCCTTTAGCAAGGATAAAAACAGGATCTATGAATGTGTTTGCTTTTGGTAGTTTTTCTTTATTAAGAGGAGAAATGATTTCGTATTGTTCTAAGATATCTAGTAACCTATTGACTTTATCTTAAAAGTGAATTGGAACTTTACTTGCACGCTGTTTTTTGAAAACTGCGTCAAGTTTTAGAGATAGATGTAGAGGTGAGTTTTCTTTTCCAAGATCAAATTTAGATGTAGCATAATCCTTTGGATAATTAAGTATTAGTTCTGCTAGTTGTTCAAATTCTTGATGTGTAACTGGAGAGTGTTGGAAATTGAACATTGTACAAAAGTTCTGTTGTTCAGTGGTATATTTTGCTCAGGAGTTTTTGTAAAGTAGTCTGTATTTCATTTTGAATAACTAATTATATTATTAATTGATAATTCTTCATTGAGGATTGTTGATTGACATATATCTAATAACTTTAAGATGTCATTTATTCTATATGCTGTTCTACTGTTTGAGAAATTGTTGCATTAGTTTCACAATATCCAGGAAGTCCTAGGGATAACGTTATTTTATATGTGGATTTATTGTATATGTGGAAAGAAATTATATCTGAACATGTTTTTTTCGTGTATTTGATTGATGAGATTGTTACTCGAAAAAACTTATGGATGGATTTGAATTCAAGGTCGGACATATGTAGTCATTGTTTAATTTGATCTATGTTGTATTGATGGACTTGACTTATTGAGAAGTTGTATACATATCCTGATAAAGGTTTTAGATGTTTTCGCTCTTGATTGTATGAAGGGTAAAATTTGGAAAAAAAATGAAGTTGTTATTCACTCTTGTGTTTTTATCCGTTATATGTAATTTATTATTTAGGACAATAAAAGTGGGAATATACTTAGTAAAAAATGGTATTCCAACGATATTGTGTTGAGATCTGTGATATGAAATATTTGTGTGGAAAGTTTATTTAAAAGTTTATTTGGTACCATTTTTTGAGTGGGAACGAGGACTAATTGAATTTTTTCATAGTTTGTTAGATTTGATCCTTGTGCTGTAGCTAATTTGCTTAAAATCTTTGAAGGTAACATTTTCGGATGTAGAGTTTCTATTTCATCCCATGTGTGAATATTTATTATATTTGGTTCTGCTCCTGAGTCTCTTGAGGTAACAATTTCGGGGAATGGTAATTGAAGATCCACCCATGATATAGAAGATCCACCCATGAGGTATGGGTTCATAGTCATTTGGAGTGATTCTTCGGCATTTGGTATTTGAGAAAAACTTGTAAGTTGTGTTTTTGTAATTTCATGCTGTTGTAATTAATATTGTAATAGGATTTCGTGTTGAATTTGCGTTTGTTGATAACTTTGTTTATTTATAAGATTTTGTGACTGAAAATTTTTATTATATGATGTCGAGTTTTGTTTTGGGGGAAAAATTGTCTTGTTTGTCGTGTTTGTTCAACTCGTGTAAATGGTTCGAAAAGTTCTGGTTGATAAATAGGATCTGGTTGATCAAAATTCCAGTTATTGATTTGTTGATTTGTGTTAAAATGTTGTTGGTTTTGTCTAAAATAGTCTTCATCTTCTGAATAATGTGATTTATTTTTTGTAAGATGTTTTTTAATTACATTTTTGTTTTGTTGAAAGAACGGGAAGTTTTCGCTATGATCCACTGAAGCTCGTGGTTGATCGTTGAAAAAATGAGTGCGAGGCTTGTTGTGGTATTTGTTGATTGTAGTTTTGTGCTTGTGGTTGATTTTGACTGTTTATATAGGGGGGTTTTGTTCTTTTTTTTTCTGCAAAAGAAGTTGTAATTGTGATCTGAAAAATTGATTTTATTAGACGTTTTTTGTTTGTTTGGTTGTCGTGATGTCATTCTTGGTTTAATTGTTTGATAATCCATTTGTGAGTATTTTGGAGTAACAGAAAGTTTTACTGTGGATTGTAAAACTATTTGCGGAAATGCTTTGTTGCGTTATTGTTAGCATTGTTTTGACTGTTTTTTCATTACCGAGATGTGATGGAGTTTGAATATCTTGTGTTGTGAGATTTCTTGTTCCATTTAAAACTTCAAGTGTACTAATGAATGTGGAGTTTAAACTATTATCTATTGTTCTGTCAGTGAACATTGCATTACACTTTAAAGGGGTTGCACAATTAGTAAGTGGAATGTTTCTAACAAGTCTTTATCAACAGATATAGTAGTGATTGCTGCACTTGATATATCAGTGGTTATATTAATAAATGATGGATGAGACCAATCAGGGTCCTAAACATAATCTGTTTCATATACTAAAACATTTTCATTGTCTGAGCTTTGCTGTCGAAACATTTTTTCTTGATTGTGCTATGAGATCGATGTTATGGACAAAATAATCAATTAAAAATCAAGCCAGTATTCTTTGTAAATCATGTTTGACATTTTAAGAAATTTCGTTAGTAATAAAGTTTTCACGGATTGTATCTAACAATTTTGAGAAAAATTAGATTTCTTGTCTTACAATTGAGTGCCGGGATGTTTGAGGCGGTGACTCATTTTGTGTTTCTTTCAATTCTAATATAGATATACAGCTATAAAAAATTGAAAAACATCAATTTTTAATATTGAATTTACTCTTTGGGAATTTTTGCGTTGTATATTTTTTATATACTCTCTGAAAACTTTTGAGAAATATAAGTCTAAATTATCTGTTTGTATTTGATGTGTAGGGTGGTTGGATTGTGGTGAAAAAATTTCAATTGTGAAAAAACCGTAATATGATGTAATATGAAATATGACATCTACTATTGAGATAGTGATCATGGATTTGTCGTTTTATAGTTATTTAAGGAAATTCTTGTTTATATGGGCTATATCTTTTTTTGAATATCTTTACAATTAAGTTGTGACAAAATTGTAGTTGACCTCGGGCGGGATCACTTTGTGGTTGTATGGAAAAAGAACGTATCGAGGTATTGTCGAAATTTATGTTGTATTCTATCATTTTTTGTATTGCAGAACTGTTAATGTGTATGATTTGTTAATGTATGATTTCTTTAATCTGCGTTTTCCTTTAATTGATGATGGTGTTGTTGCTTCTGAGTCAGAAAAAGAGTTATGATTTTCTATCTTATTATTCTTATTTTTTGAATCTTTCAAATCTTGAAGCTCCTGTATTGTGTTTGTTTCTGATTGTGCGACTGCTTTTCGTCTTTTTGAAAATCTCCTTTTGCGAATTTGCTTTTGTGTTGTTATAATAGTCTTTTTCCGTGTTGGTCTTTCTGATGTAATATATCCTATCGTTTGTCTGTGCGGTGTGATTTTCTTTCGTTTTTAAATAAAAACTTATGTGAAATGATTGTTTGCTTATTGCCTAGATTATCTCTTAACATAAGGTTTAAGATGACGGGTGCAATACTTAGGAGTTAGAAATTCTATTCTGCTAAACAGTTAGTTCTTTTAGGAGAATCGAATTTAAGTTGATCAAGGGTAATTCTAAGTTGATCAAGGGTTGGAGAATAGTAAATCAATCTACAAGGTTCAGGTATAGTTAGAACAGAGGTAGATCGTTAGATACTATTTTATGACTTACTTATTTTTAAGGGTTGTAGACGGGGTCATCTAAGAGGAGAGGCTCAAGTGAAGGATGAGTAACCGAAGTTCTTCACTGTCTATTTTAATTAAAATGGTTAGTTTTTCAAAAACTTCTTTTTATCCTGGGTCGTTTATAAGTGTTGGAGAGTGAATCGACGTTTGAGGTCGTTAGACACTTTGAAAATTATATGGTGGGGATCCAAACAATAAATTTTAGTAGTAACTAATTTTTGTATTTTTTATTCAATAAATAATTTATCCAAAAGTTTTGATTTACTGCAGGTTTTTGGGGAAATGAATTGTGTTCTTTTTATCAGTCATTATTGTTTAAATAATAGGTTTATCACCAAATGAGTTGTATAAGAATTATTCTTCGAATAATTTTCATGTTAAAAAATGAAAATCTAAATTTGCTGCATAAAAAATTCTAAATACAAAAACTTGTTCCAGTTTTCATCGTACTATCAGGTAGTAGAATGGTCCGTTTCCTGATCGTTGCTCACGCCTTGATCTTGTGCTTCTTGCAATACCTGTTATTTCTCGTTTTGTTTGGAAAATTGGCGTAGATTTATTGAGACCTTGAGACATTTCTTTTAAATTGTCTTTTTCATCGAACAAATTTTGCATTTGTCTAATTCTAAGTTTAGTTGTCTATTTCTAAGTTAGTTAAGGTCTTGTTCGAGACTTATGGTCGCACCAGATGAGTTATGACCTTGGGTCCTAACTCATAGAGTAATTTCAGATAAGGTACACCGTCTGTTCGTCACACTAATTGATTTTCGGTCGGATAGATTCGTGCAACTTCTTAGTCTAATACCGATCTTAATCTTACTCTTATATCTCATAGTCTCAGTAGATCTAATGTATACTGGTTTTTGCGAGTTAGTTCTTGGAGTTTATCCAAAGGAGAACAACTGTAGTCTAAGGTTTATCAAAATTGTTCTGGTGCTGAAGCTACAAGTAGTTTTAGCACTTACAAATAAGTGTCAATGTTAGTGATGGAAAATGATTGATTAGTTAGTATTTTTTATAGAGATAGCTTTATCAATAATATAATTGGTTTATAAATACTAGTTTAGAACTGGTTCCAATATAAGGAATGTTGCAGCCACTCGAAGAAGTCCCTCAGTAATTCGCTCCATGGCCACCCAAAGGGACTCTCTTTGCTGCTGATTTAAGAAATTCAATTTTTTTGATTGACGGCGCGAATATATAGTAATTTTCAGTAGGAAGTGCTCGTCAATTTTAAATATATATTTTTGTTTTTTTTTGGCCAAACCTTTCCAAAAATGCCTAAAATATCGTTTTTTGTCGTTTTGTTTTTGATAACTTCCCTCTCGAGAGTACTCCTCAATGTGAATTAAAATCCGCCTGATACACCTGTTTAAAACTTGTCATACTGACCCTCGTCGGCAGTAGCGAAGAACTCTGTGTACAAACCAGAGTATCCACCCTTCTCTCCTGGTCCACTTATTAACTCTAAATTCAGATAAAAGTCCTGATCTGCACCGAAGTTGGGGTTCTTCACACAGAATGAGATGGTAGGCGATGGCATGTTCTCATAGTTGCCACATAGTCGGAAATCGTTTTTTGGTTGTGATTGGCTGTAAACTCGGAAGTAGTCTTGTAAGTCGCATCTGATTTGTAGGTTGTGAATTGTGACGTAATAACTCTTGGAGTCCTGTTAACAGTTTTACATTGAGTTTTTTCATGAAAAATATCATATTTCCCTAGTTAATTTTAGAAAAAACAGCTGGAATTTTTTTGTTTGTAGTGCAACTTCCCAGAGCTGAAGTCCGCGACTGAAAGATTGCATAGTCGTAACCGGGTTTTAAGACACGAAAATCGTAAGCGTGGTCGCGGAAGTCTGAACATAAAGTCGCAAAGATCCGGAAAGTTGCCAAAGTTTAGAAATGAAGTCACGAAGGTCCAAAAAGTTACCAAAAAGTGGACATAAAGTCGCGAAGATCTGAAGAGTAGTCAAAGTCTGGATACGAAGTCGCGACAGTCCAAAAAACCGGCAAAGTCTGGAGTTGAAGTCGCGAAGATCCGGAAAACTGCCAAAGTGTGGAGATAATGTTCAATACCAGCGCGAATTTAAAATTGTATACAAGCTTGTAAAAAACAGATCTCAGACAGAATTTCGATAATCATAAATCAATTAAACAATTTTATAAGAAACTTTTCAAAACTTTTCAAATTAGGCCCGTATCGTATTTTCCGGAAGAAAAAAAAACAATCATCTTTCAAAATACTTTAACATTCTGAATGATGTCTTCTGCTACTGAAGCTCATAGTTTTTTTTTTGATTTCTGAAAAAAAAGGTGCGGACGGATGCGAAAAATGCGACGGTCGCGCCATGTCCACCTTTGGTCATGGTCGATATTGTTCACACCGTTCGCTCCTCTTTTTGGCGGGTCTCGTCGGTGGCGTGGTCTCTGCCCTAATCGCGAAGACATAACAAATGTCGGTCACAATATCTGATTGTGCCGTGACCACCCTGTTCGCATAAATCACGGAGGATCTGTTTGGTTGAAAGTCTGATATTTTATAAATACCCATTTTATCAAAAAAATTTAGAATTCTTGCTTTTATAGTGACTGATGAGCTGCAGGTGTAGTCTTCAGGGTAGGGGTTGTTGTTGTTGTAGTCCACATGGGAGAAGTGCAGTCCGCTTTTCATTGGGACACTAAGCTGTAAGCAAACTCTTTATCGGATAAATTTGAAAAAAAATGTTAAAGAAGATTAATTTAAATTTTATTGAAATAATGTTTCGAATTATTTGTATTAAAGTTTTTTTCTTTTCTTTTTTCCACTTCTCAAAAAAATGAAAGCATCCCTTGCAAAACTTAATTTCAAACAACACAAAAATATTAAAAAAATGGCAAGCAAACAAACTGTTCTTTGCATTACATGCATTTCGAACAAAAAATATTTGTTATGTTTGTTTTTGTTTTTATTTATAGAAAAAACAGACTTTGTATCACTTAATTTAACAAAAAAAGTAATTTCGTTTTTGCTTAACCTGAAAACACAAAAAAAATTCTAAATAAGATACCATTCAAAATTCAAACTGGGGGAGATCAAAATTCAAACTGGGAGAGAAAAATTGACAAGGGGAGATCAAGATCAGAGGCTGTAGAAAAGGTTTCAGCGCTCCAAAATTCTATAAACTTTATTGCAAAAGATAACCGGTACAAAATATGGAAATTTGAAAAAAAAAATCTCTGGTATTTCATGAAAAACTAACAAAAAAAAATGGGTCGAAAAACTAATGATCTATAACCTTTTTTTCTTACTTAAACAAGAACTGTCTTGTTCTATGCAGGGAACTAAAAATGCTCTGAAAAATTTTCAAAATGAAAGACGAAGTCAATTTTCTAGAAAACATTATCTTCTCTCTCAGTTTGAAACTGCTAAAATGTGTAATTTGTTAGTATGATTATAGTTTCAAGGAAAATGCTCAAGGTTTCTGTTTAAACTTAGGCAAAACAATTCGCTTTTTGGTATCGAAAGAAAACAAATCCGTTTGTTTAATCACCTCGATACCCAATTTTTTTCGGTGTTTTCATTGCAACTCCAACTGAGATAACGGGCCTATATGTCCCTTAACTCCCTCTGAGTTGTGTTTGTTAAGTTTGTTTGTGTAAGACACGTGAAAGAAAACTCAAAATACGAGCTCTTTAACTGTCTACGGAGACATGTTACTGTAACCCTGGTTAGGAATGACTTGCAATTGGTATTTCTGGTTGGATTCGTCTAGCCTTTGAATCAATGTTACTTTGCTGCAGCTAACTCTACTTTATGCAATTAAAAGAATAAAAGAATAAAAGTGAATTAGTCTAAAGTTAAAACATTAAAAAGTGAAGAGCATTCTCTTCGCCGGAGAGAATGAAATAGTGAAGATCATAAATGAGTGACCTGTTAAAAGGTTAAGTGACAGTTGCGGATATACTAAAAAAGATGAAATCGCATCATTCCTCTAAGCAGGAAAAGTTTAAATTGTACGAATTAACTGATTATCTAACTAACTGCATCCTTTCTCCCCCTTTTGGGCAACAAAATTAAATTTAAAGCACCGATAGTGTACTTGAAATAAGCTAGTGATAAATGATTAAATTTTGAGTAATAACGAGTAGGGGTATTAGAAACTTGCTGCTTTAAAACGTATGATATACAATATCCATCGGATAATGCAAGTTAAAATTATTCTTAAGAAGATTGCTGACTCAATGTAGTGTATGACTATGGTATGGCACTACAATTGAATTTAACTACGGCAATAAAGATTACTAATTAACTGATCCGAAGGAATATGTGCTATAATGACTCAAAAAAAAATAAATAACTTCGATAAGCAAAGTGTTTACAGTACGCTATCATTAACAGTAACTATAGCAGCTTATGAAGTTTTCCAATTCGGCGTTAAAGATTTCGCTGTCGAGTTCAGTGTGGTCGTCGAAATTGTCCGCCGCAATTCTTAAAGAATCGTCAGTTGATGATGAAGAAATTTGGTCTGAAGAAGGAGGGTCCGACTCAATCGTCACTTTCTCCAAAGAAGTCTCTCTGTTGTAAGTTGTCCCGTTTTCCGCTGTTGTAGTTGCCCAGTATAATCGGATTTGATTCCAGACCAGAGTTCACTTGAGGTAAATCTGACTTATCTATTAAGTATCTCTTACAATAGAACTTTGGCGGACCTACATTTCTACTAGACCGACGAATAGTAGGTGGATCGCTACCAGGTTTAGTTGGGAGCACTGCCGTAGGAGTGACCTCATCGATTGAATCCACTGTCTCGTATACTGGGAAGTCCATAGTAGCATTCTCCTCCATTGGTGAGGTCGAATTGTTCTTTGTGTCCAGTATTTGACTAGTCGCAGAAGATTCCGCCGGAGTGGTTGAGATTGGACACTGGGAAGTAGTTTTCGTCTCTGCTGGGATAATACTGACTGGGCACTGCGTTGATGGTTCGTCATCCGAGATAATGTTGTCGTCTAAAATCTCAACCTTAATACTATTATTAGTTTCACGAGGGTTGAGAGGGTTCCAGTCCTGATTTAAGTTTTTGAATGAGTCAGAAATAAATCGTTCCCTGGCTACGTCTCTACACGAAAAACCTCCAGCTATCCATTTCCAATCACTAGTATCAGAAATATCCGAGGGAAGAATCATAAATTCGTCCCAAGCAAGATAAACTGGAGGAGTTGTCGTCTTCTTTGATGAGGGCCTCGACACTCGTTTCCTTGTATTTTTGTCCAATGATCCTGATTCTATTTGGTGTCTGGTCCTGGGTTGTAGTATTCGCGGTTTGTTCTGTCTCCTACTTCAACATTATGGTTAGGGAAATACTTCACCTACTTCAACAATATGGTTAGGGAAATATGGAAATGAAATGTCGCCTTTAAAAGATCTAATTTTTGAAGAGTTTGATTTAGGAATGGCAAAATCTAATTTTCGAACTATTTTTCCGTCGGATAGTTCATGATAGGAGTTCATGATTTTTCCGTCGGATAGGAGTTCAGGATCTTTTTGTTTAGCTCCTTTTAAAACGGGTTTCCGTTGATACTCTCATTCGTTTTCCGCGGGATTTAACCTTTAAGCGGGCTCTGAAGTGGTAATCTAGAGGTGGGGGTTTTCGAAGTGGAAGCGTAGTCTGTATCATATCCCTTCTATTTTGAAGTCAAGTTTTTCTCGGGGATCAGTGTATCCTTGTATCCATCTTCCACTCTGTCATCCGCATTCCAGTCTTTTGCTCTTTCTTTAGATGTTGCTTTGTCTAAAATTCCAATGGATGGTTTACCCGAAGCCAGTTGTTTCCAAATTGTATTTGGTTTTCTATTAAAGTGTATTTCGAAGAGCATTTGATTTTTGATTGGTATGAAGATCAGAGGATCCAGATAATTTTTGAGGCAGCTTTTTTTAATTTACATTTTTAGGTTTCTTGAGCCATAGCCAAAAATTTAGGTTTTATAGTTTGTACAAGTTTCTAATCCGTTGGAGCGATGATCTCCTACTGTACAAAATATTATTTCAATATAGTTTGAGTCACAAAAAAATTGAAATCTTGGCTTTTAAAGCAAGATGCGTGGTCTACTTTAATTCAGTAAGGTATGCCGTGTAGAAATATTTAATCATGAAGAAACTCGATAACTGATTTTGATGAAGTAGGTGAAGTAATTTTTGCCGAAAGAAATTTTGAAAATCGATCAATGCAAAGTAAAATGTATTTATTTAATCCCCATTGTGAATCTAAAGCTCCTGCGAAGTCTAGGTTGAATTCTTCATTTGGTTCCAGTAAGGGGGAAGTTTGCTTATTTATGATTTAGGAATTATGCTTTTCAATTTCCTACCCGTCTTTGTACATTTTGAGCAATTAATGCCATGGAAATAGATTTGTCTGTTAATCTGGGGCCACCAGATGTATTGGGCGAAATACTTTTTTTCCAAATTGACCGGGATGTGTTTCATGGAGAGTTTTCATCGTTGCGTTTCTCAGGTTAAAAGGTATAACTAATTTACCGTCCATGCAGAGGAATCCATCGGACTCGTGTAAATCTCTTGTGAAGTGTTTGAAGTATAGAGAGCTCACATTAATCGTCTCAACCTTGTTTTGAAGTGCCTTTACGATAGGGCTCAACATAGGGTCATCTTCCGTTACGAGAGCTACGAGCTTGGCGTTAAAAACGGTGTTTAAATCCATGGGACGTTCAGGCAACTTCAAGTTTTCTCAGTATTTATTTACAAGGTTCTTTTGGTCCGATAATAGGGGAAAGTCTAAGGATATTTGAATACTGGAAACGGAGGGATTAATTACGATTTTTTTGTTATCCGTTTTAACAGTATCTACAATTTGTCTATCTACAGTTGAATTAATTAAACTACAATTAAGAATTGAGAAATAAAAAAATGCGGAATTAGAAAAAAAAGTAATTGAGGAACTAGTGTTGGAATAATCCAAAGGAATACATTTCGAAGTGCAGAATTCGGTTCTATTGTGATTAGATGAATAAATTGGAAAAGTCGAGTTAATCCATTAGTTTGAATACTGAAGCTATAAGGTAATTACGTAATTTTACGTAACCGGATTTGAACCAATAGCAGAGCATGTTTTTTTTCTTTCTCCGAAGGATTAATTGATTTGTTAATTTTATTTATATTCGCAACTACGAATTTTTTTATCATAATGTGATATGGGTAAAACTTTTCCAGATCAAATTCTTGAAATTAATTCGGTGAAATTCATATTTTTTCCTGCGACGTGTTTAACTGTAAAATTGAACGGTACTAGTCTACCAGCCTATCTTATTAGTCTGCTATGATAAATTTGATTTCCGTGGTTAGTTGACAGGGCGGAAAGTAGTGCTTTTTGATCTGTAATTACTTCGAAGTCTGATCTAAAAAGGTAATTTTTATAATGTTCGACAGCCCAGACAACTCTCAACAATTCTAGATTATTGGTAGAGTATTTCGGCTCGTGTGGGTTTAAAAACAATGAAACAAAAGAGATCGTTTTCCAATATTTCCCATAATTGCCGTGGAATTGTTCTACGGAGGCCCTCAACCCGTTGTGTGAAGCGTCGGTTTTTACTCTAGTTTTGCATTTTACGTCGAAATGGGTATTTTCAGTGAGATTGATGATCTCTGGTTTGATTTTCTCAAAGGCTTTTGTATGGGCAGTATTCTAATGGAATATACATTTCTTATTTAGCAGAGGTCGAAGTGGGCTTCATAAGGATGCTAAATTGGGTACAAAATTAATTTACTGATTTATAGATGCGAAAAATGATCATAACTTTTTCAGATTTTTTGGAATGGGCAAATCCTTTATTGCTTTTGTTTGTCGAATAAAAAGGAAATTCCTGTATTTGAGATTTTGAATCCCAACCAATCGATTTCTTTTTGAAAGAACTTACCCTTTGACCATTTAACTGCGAAGTTGTATTCGTCTAACGTAGCTAAAATTTTCAACACAATATTTTTGTGGTCTAAGAAATTTCCTTTGGATGCAATTAAAATTTCGTCCAAATAACAATTTGTAAAAGGGATCGAGCCTAGAGTTGGGTCCATAACTCTTTGAAATTCGTTAGGCATATCACCTAAGCCGTAAAAGCCAGTTAGAAGTTGGAATGCACCAGTAATGTCGCCGCCCACTATACTAAAATTTTGTTGGTTGCTAGTAAACTTGTCTTAAGCGAGTTGGCTGTATGCATTTTTCTAATCTAAATTTGTAAACCAAACTTCTCCAACGGAATCATTTGCTATTTGTGCCGCTACACTGTTTACCAATTCATGGATATTCGGCATCTGATGTTTATTCTTTTTTCTCTGTTTGTTAATAAATTTAGAATCCAGGGCTAACTTGATCGATTTGTCTTTTTTACAAGTAAAAACGATTGGGCTGATAAAGCGATCTTCGTTGCAATTTTCCAACTTCTTAAAAAGCCTTCGTCTTTTATTCTGTTAAGTTCAGTTTTAACTGAATCAAGTAAATGGAGGGGGAGTCGTCTTCATTTTAATCGGATGGGTTTTAATGGTTCGTGAAAATGAGTAATTTTCATCTGATTTTCTATTTTCCCAATCAAAAGTAATAAGTTTTTAAAAGTTTTGGAGACGTTTATGATTTCCCTTTCTGTATCTGCTGTTGAAATAAAATTTATTTATGGACTTTTACGTCTGGTTTGTCTGCAAATGAGAAAAGTACTTCAGTGATATGTCTATCCCCACTATGGGCAAGTTTTCATTTCCGAAAGTATTCCTCTCATGACGTTCTGTCAAAAAAATGGCAGTCATCATATGACTATCCGTTTGAAAAGCTAGGAAGTATCATTTTTCCAGAAATGTTTACGGCGTTGTCCGTGAACCCGCAAAATAAGTCCTTGGTTGCCTTATCCACCGGATAGATTTTTAGGTAAGGATCTCGAAGTTTCAATTCGTGTAAGATGTTCTTCTTGAAGAAGCTAACTGGGGCTACCGGAGTCCACTTGTATGTTTAAGATTATTTGGTTTTTTTTCCCGAGGCCAATATTCAGTAGTTTCTTGAGCTCTTTTCCTTCGTTGTCGAAAATTGTAGTTACATTTAAGAGAAAATAATCGTCATTTTTGCTTTGTCCAGGTTCTGACCATGCGTTAATCACGCCCCAACATTCTGTATTTTCATGGTCCAAATTTACATCCGGCTGATCCGACGGATTGAAATCTGTATTATCTACAATTTGGTTGCTTAAAATGTTTACATTTTTGTGACAAAATTTACAAAGTTTGGCAAAATGGCCTTTGTATTTACAGGATGTACAAGGAGTATCCTTCGCAGGGCAAAAAGCTAAGTATCCTTTGGAAAAGGTCCCGCCACATTTCATACAGGTGTTGCTTCGTTCGATGTTCAGTGTTGGTTCTCTTTTTATAATAAAATGGTTATGAGATTTATCTACAGGTGGTTCCTTGGATTTAAAATTGTTTGTAAGTTTTAAATGGTTTAAGATTTCCTTTTCATCAATGAATGCCAGATTTAGTGCTTCTCGCGGAGGTAATGTTTCAGTCAAGAGTTGTCGTTGGATGTCGTAACTTTTCTTGTTGTTTATGAAGGTGTCCCTGATCCATTCTTCTTCTCCTGCGCTATGTCACACTTCTTAGTCATTTCCGCTAAGGATCCCCAAAATTGTTCCAGTGACTCTCTGTCTCGTTGTTTTCTGTTTAACAATTTCTGCCTTTCAAAGTGACGTTTGTCTTCCTGACGAAAGCGGTTGCTAAGTATTCCCAAAACTCTTTGAATGAAATTTGTAGAATTGTTACCTTTGTGAACTTTTGTCCGAAAAATCTTTTTTCCTCATTTCCTAGGGCTAAGTACAGGATCCATCGTAATTTTTTGTCGGCTTCATCTATTCTCACTCCGTTAAATTTCTTGGTTTCTGATTTAATAGATGCCGTTTCCTTCTCGTCATATCGTCTTTGTTCTTGAATTTTCCTGTCTATTCTCGATTTTCTTTGGCTTTGCGATTCATTGTTCGTCGGATTTTCCAGAGTTGGAGGTTGAGCGTGGTGTTTTTCCGAGGGATTTAGTTGATTTTCGATGTCTATGTTTTCTTTAACAATAATAGCTAAATGAAAAAGATCGCTCCAATCTTCCCAAGGAATAGGTGGGTCTACCGTGTGGTTCCGCCAAAATGGAGGATTTCCTCTCACGTTAGATTCGTTATTTGACTGCGCCATGATAAAATGTTACTTTGTTGCAGCTAACTCTACCTTATACAATTAAAAGAGTAAAAGAATAAAAATGATTTAGTCTAAAGTTAAAACATTAAAAATTGAAGAGAGAGCATTCTCTCCGCCGGAGAGAATGAAATAGTGAAGGTCATAAATAAGTTACCTGTTGAAAGGTTAAGTAACAATTGCGGTAATTTTGATTAAGACGAAATCGCATCAGCCATATCTTCAAGCAGCGACCGCGGCCAACGACAGGCTTCGACTCTACGACCGTTAGATTGTTCCTAGTATTTCTTACAACAATTTGATGGTAGCATCGGACGGTTGTTTCAGTTTCTTCATAAACGTGTTTTGTTCTTAACCTAAATTTTCGACGAAAAATTTTTTGCATGTATAATTTTTTTCCTAGATTGATGTTTTTTCTATATAATGGTAAATATTTTTTATTTTCTTCTTGTACCACAAGCCTAAAAATTTTGCCTTCATTTTTCATGATAATGAGCATTAAAATGGTTTTCAAGACTTTATTTTCAAAAATATGTCATGAAAATTGTTGTTAAGAAATACATTTTTCTCTCAATTGTTTATAACCCATAAACTTGCCCATTTAGCTTGCTGTTTTTTGTGAGTTTTGATGGCAGCCTTATCATTATTTACTTAAACTGAAAAAAATCATAATAAAGTTATTGTTGTTGACTAGGATACAGATAAAATATTAACAAAAACTCGTCATAGTTTCGTAATGCAAATACTTTGATGAAGACTATGCTTTTAAGGGTCTTACACTTGACTTAATGGACTTCCTGTTTTTTTACCCGAATCAGTAAGGACTACTTTTTGAGTGCAAAAGGCAAAAATACCCTACTAAAAGAAAATCCAGCCCAGATTTACCTAAATTGGTTACCTAAAGTGATTCGGTTCTCAACTTAATCCAATGCAAAAATTTCAGAAATGTTTTTGTAAATATTGCTTCACATCTTTTGTTTTTGTACTGAATATGATTGTACAGTCTTAATGCTAACACATATGCTAAAACAAACCAATCATATTCCTACCCGGGTTGAATTTCATACAAGAAAAATGTCTATTATGAAAGTTCACATATGGCCTCTACAAAAATATTCTTATCAAGCGATTACCGAAAAAATAAAACATCAAAAAAGTTTTTAAATAATTTTTTTCAAAAAACACTTTTTAATTTAGTTTAAAACTCAAATAAAACAATTTTGTGGCAGTTTTTGTTAGTTGAGAGCAACTTGGTTATAAAAATTGATCTTATGAAAATTGTATAATATGAGTTTTTTGTAGAAAATTGGGGTTTTTTCTTTTTTGATTCCAAACTAGCGTTTTCGCTCAAAAAAAAATTACGATAAAAAAAGTTTTTTCTTGTATCTATAACCTAGTCCAGGCTGAGTTTTTCGGACAAAAAAATCATAAACAATTGTTTTCCAAAGTAGAGCCAAAAAGCAGTTTTAATTTTTGATGCCAAGATTAACCTATATCTGTAAAAAATGCAATTTTTTTCAATCGCTGACTTTTTAAGTGGGAAATTTCTAGCCATATGCAAAAGTTCATGTTTTTTGTCTATATTTCTGTATGCAATCTTAATAAAAACTGTATGGCAAACATCACCATTCATCAGTTTTTCAGCGTGTCAAGGCCAGGTGCACTCAGGGTTTTCTCAAGCTAAAAATTACTGGGTTAGTTTGTTTTTGGACAACATTTAAAATTTATATCAGAGATTTTTTTGTATTTTCATTTAAGTTGATCTTCAACTAATCGCTTTTATATTAGGTTTTATTTACATTTTATATTTATTTTTTTTAGGTTTCTTGAGACCTCGAAAACAAAAGTAAGATTCAGACAAGAATTAAAAATGGAAAAAGTTCGAAACTGTCTGTCCGAAAAAAAAATTGGGTGTAATTTATCTAAGAATACTCTATGAGTTAGCAACAAACTTAGGTCAACTCACGGTGCTTTAAAAAACTAACTTTAACTTACTCCCGTCCATTAGCGGAGGATGATTATAAGTCCACTCAATACCGCTACCAATTTTTTGGAAAAAAAATCTTCTTCCGTGCTTTTTACGAATTTAATTTTTACGAATGTAATTTTTATCATGACTTCTGCGCTGCTATACAATAATTTTGAGAGGGAAAACTTGTTTAGGAAACTCGAAACGTTAGAACGAAGACTTTACTCAGTACAAATTCACATCTTGCACTTGAAATAGATAAGGAAACAAACAAATCTAACCTGGTTACACATCAGAACAAACGCTAAAACAAAATAAACTGTTTGATGTAGCAGTATTCATAAAAAATGCAGTTGGAATTTCAGCTTTTCCAAAACACAATTCAATTAAAATTTTAAAATGTGCTATAATCAAAAGTGCAATAAAATCCTCGAATTAAACTGATAACTGCCTGTTTTCTTCTTCTTGTTTTTTCGGCCACTTGAAAAAACTCACAGCATCCACTGGTTACTTCGCATTGCTGTCTTTTGGCGGAATCCACGTCAGATCTCTGTGTTCCGTAGCTCCTCCCTTGTAACACAGGACAGATCATCTGATCTTCGCTTTGGTCATAGCGACAGAAACTGTACTCGAAGCCAGCGTCGTCTATGACTGGGAATGAGCACTCTCGGCCCGATACGGCAAAACATTTGCGAGCTTAAAAATGCAAAAGTTGAAGCATTACATGAAAAAGTCCGTACCACATTGTACATTCCTGGAATTTGTTCAGTCTCTGTAACGGGACGATGTAAAAGAAAAATTATACAAGCAAATAGTTTTGACTCTGCCAAACACCGGAAAATTTTAAAAAATTTCATCTTCCTCATTGGCTGAAACTTGCTGTGCATCAGCTATCTGCTCAATTACCTCCGAAGGAACTCGTCTTTATTTTAAGGTCAGTTTTTTTGCAGACCTCTAAAAATCAAAAATTTACATATATTTTTTGGCATAATATGCCGGCAAGTTTTAAAAGTGATTTTTTAACCATATGATTGTTGCTGTGCAAGTGGCACGAACTGACATGAGCACATTTATTGTTGCAATTTCTTCAAACTATTTTCAAAATTACATATGTTTTATTTGCAAATGGAATGATTCTTTAGCAAATAATCATCGAAAACTGAAATAGATTATTGAAACATTCAAGCTAATTGAGAAGTCAAATGAGAGCAAAAAATTTGAACTCTTCAGAGGGTAACTTCTCAAATGGCATAAAAACAAAACTTTTCCCAAATGGCAAAAATTTCAAGTTTTCATTCTTATTCGAACGTTTTCTATCGACTTTGATTTCTAAAATTTTGTCAGGAACAAAAATATGTGATTAGGATTTGAAATTAAGTGCTTTCAAACAAATGTTAAGCAACAATTGACCATAAGAGCTTATGCTTTTCGCTTTTGATTATAAAAAATTTTACAATTTGCTTAAGATAAAATGTCCATCAGCATTTGAATTGACGACTTGACCAATTTTTGTGTATTGTTCACAAAAAAAATTATTTGGAAATCTCAAATGCAACTGTTGCAAGAAAATTATGCCATTTAGGAATTAAGCAACAGTTCGAACTACACCCATTGGAATTTCCAAATCATAGCTCAGCTCACTTGACTCAAGCCTAATTTTTCTTGAGACACTTCAAATAATTAGGAAAAGCACATCCTACACAATGGTTTGGTTTAGTTCAGTCGTTTCGCGACGTAGCCGGAACCATTATAAAAGATCTTGGGTCTTATGCACTAATCAGCCCAAAATAAGTGTTTTTATATCTTAGTCTGAAGTCAACGTTGTTCAATCTGATTGGTTAGTTAGCCAACCAAATTCAAACATGGTCAGGCTTTTCAACTAAATTTTTGAGCAGATAAAGCTATTTTTCTGAACTTTTTCGGTACGGGTAAGGTTTCATAAAAAACAAGAAATTCATTTTTTTTGGACCAAGTTATCATCCACCCCTCCCCTCCTCTCCACCAAAACTTGTTCAGGGGGGAAGGATGTTAACTTGGTACTAAGTTAGGAATTTTCAGTCAATCAAAGTCGAGAATGTACATGCAGCGTTTAGCAAACCTAATTCATATCGAACACTGGGGTAGAGGATAATAACTTGGTCTAGATTTGGGGGAGGGGGGGAGGGTAAACTTTCGGTAAACTCGGTTTATCTTTTTTACTGCTGGAAAAGTTGATTGAAATGCCTGATCATGTTGCGTGAATTCGAAAGGCTAATATTAGCCAATCAAACTCTACCCCAAAAATTTAGCTTAAGATCTATAGATTTTAATTTTGAGCAGTTATGTGCAGAAGACCCAAGATCTTTATCCACGCTCTTAAACTTGTTCACGCGTTTTTAAATAAGCATTGTTGACATGTTTCGTATTTCAAGTAGAAACTGCGGATTGATACGGAGAAAATACCTGAAAAATTCAAGAGTGTATCATTCTAAATATTTTAATGATGCCAATGTAGTGACCAGATATTATTGCCGTTACCCCCCTTCTTGAGAAAATTCTAGCTCAGCCCCTGTTGCAAGGGTCAAAAAGATGGCGATTTACCGACCAATAGAGAGTTTTGGCAATCTCGCAAATTTTTTTCTCTCGACTTTTATAAAACATTTTACATGAAAGAGGTTTCCGAATTAGAGGAGAATATGTGTAATGCGTGTATGTTGTTTAAAAGTTACCACAAGCGGTCGTGTTGGTACAAGTCCCAGCAGTTGTCATCTCCGAATTCTCATCCACAGCTGTGGCACAGTTGGGGGTGGAGACGGCAGAGAATGAGTCATTGAGGGGATCCACCGAGCAGGTGAAATATGTCTTGCCCTGGTGTTTGAAGGGGAAAATGCAGGGCTCAAGTGATCCAGACACGCTTGCTATGCATGTACATTGGTCTAATAAATAAAAGAAGAAAAACTATATCATTTGAAAAAATGTAAAAAAGCACTTCAAATGAAATGAATCTTATACACTATGTTTTTGAAGTTTTGATGCTATGACAGAATGGCTAATTTTTTTAAAGGTGTTTTGGACACCATGACAAAACAGGAAACTGTCATAGGTTTGTATTAGGTGTATTACTCAACATGAAAAGAAAGGCAAATGAGTTGAGATGGATGGTCTAACTCATAGAGTAATTTCAGATAGGGTACACCGTCTGCTCGTCACGCTATCTTATTTTCGGCCGGATAGATTCGTGCAACTTCTTAGTCTAATACCGATCTTAATCTTACTCTTATATCTCTGATTCTCAATAGGTCTAGAGTATACTGGTTCGTTACGAGTCGGTCTCTTGGAGAAAGCAATTAAGTTGTAAGTTAAATTCAAAATGCTCTGGTGCTGAAATTACAAGTATTTTCAGCACTTACAAATAAGTGGGTTGAGCGATAAATAAGTGGGTATAGGGATAAAATATCTAATTTATAACCAATAAAAATATATAGTTTGGATCTGGTTCCACCCATCCGGGGTTCACAGGGTTTTTGTTCTTTTGACTTCTATCTGTAATGGAGGATGGATGATGATCGTTTGTACTTCGCGAGCATCATTTCTATTCCGTTCTTGGAGATGAAAGCTCCAGGAAGCTGGAATCGTAGATGTCAATCTGTCATTCAACAATGACTGTAACCGCCAACAAAATCAATCTGATTTCCAAATGGTTTGTTAAGATCGTTTGTTCTTGATCAGAGTGGAGAACTGTGCTTCGATCTTGTTTGGGAATGGCGTGAAGCTCGAGTTTGGAGTGATTGCCTTGTAACTCGGATCTGTTCGTATACTTGAACATCGAGAAGGTCATTGGTCTGATTCAATGAAGTCCTTTGCTTCGGTGTCAAGTCGTACTTCAAATCCTTTGAGTTGTGATTGTGAGCGGCATTTCGGTTGTGTTCAGCCATTCTGTGGATTGAGTGTGATGGGGTCGTTTTAGTTTCTTGATGCTCGTCTTGTGATTGTGTATGATCTTGATTACTGCATTATATAATTTATGCTTAGTTATAATAAATGTTATTTAGTTCTTCTTTTATTTATGATTTTTTAAAGTTTTTATCGCAAAAGCTTTTATTTTAGTTCTGTTATTTTTAAATAGTTACTCACAATTGAGCAGCTCTCGACAAAAAGAGGGAGTGTGTCACAAAGCGTGGGTTCTAGCACGGTGGCTTAGACCGGCTATTAAGCATGCTCAGGACCTCCTCTTCTGGTGGGTTAGGCCAGGAGTGAGGGTATGACTTCATGCTGGATTTTTATGGGGTCCTCTTTGGGTTAACTTTTTATGTCATATTTGTTACTTGTTTTTTCATTTTGTTGTTTTGGTTCTGTCCTTTTGTCGAAAATCAAATTGTTTGGTTTGGGTTTGGCTTTTGACTTTTTGGCGTTTTATTCATTTTTTTCAGACTTGTCAATATTCTTCAAAAGAATAAATTATCTAGTTCTTTAAGCTGGTTTAATCCGGTTTGGGTACCGTGGGTTTTCTTTTCTTAGTCATGCTGTTAGTTTGTGGTTTATGGTGTTTAGTAAGCTGCGTTGGTTAGTTTGGACTATTATATAATTCCTTTCCAACCGGGTTAAAAGAAAGTTGGAAACTTGTTGTTACTAGTTTGAGTTGTTGTTAGCGAAAATTAAAACTTGAAATCATTATTTTAATCAATTCGTAGTGTGCGAGCTGTGCGAGTGTGGATATAATTTGTTGGCGAATGAATTTAGCCTTTTAAAAGGTTAGTACTGCTTGCATTTATATAAATTTACTACTGAAAATTTTAAATTTACTGCTTTAGGGGAAAAAATTTACTACATTAGGGAAGAGAATTTATAGATGAATTTACTACTGTGGAGAAGAAATCTTACTGCATCGTTCATTGCGGTTTGCTAAAAAATGTTTATAATTTATAAAAAAGTTTGTATTTTTGATTTTTGGTTTCTTGTTTGTAGATGATCGTGATCTAAAGGCTAAATCTGTTTAGTTTGTAACATAATTTCGTGTGAACAGTGCAAATCTCGTTCTTTTGGAGTGAGGAAGTGGAAGATTAGTGAAAAAGTTTCAAATTTTTTGTAAAATGATTCATAAGCTTGAATGTCAATTAGTGCTTCTGAAATGATGTGATCGTGTTTTTTATCTATTGAGCTTAGTGTAAAAATGTAAGGTGTTCGGATGAAAAAATTTTCAGTTAGTTGAGGCTTAGCAAACTTATCGTCGTCGAGGAATTGGTCTTGGTTGGGTCGGATGATATTATGGTCATAGTGCTCGATGGAATATACGTTAGCTCGGGGTGCAGTGAACATTTTTAATTGCTTTTTGTATCCTACGTGCGTAAATGGTCGGGGTGTTAGTGCAGTAGTTAGTATAAAAAGGTCGTTTTTACTTTTTTCTATTTCTTGAGGTGTGTTAAAGAGTGGTACACAAAGTGGGTTTGAGAAATGATAAAATGATGTCCGATGGAGTGTGGGGATTAATACATGCTCATCGACATAGTGGGGCTGTTCAGTGTGAGTGACTAATTGTATATTGAGGAAAGAGGGGTAAAGAAATTTGGTGAAATTCGGGAGTATTAGT